GGGTGGGGTGAGGGTTGTCCTCCAGAAGCTGTGGGCTATGGGGTGGGGGTGGGGGGCAGGCAACAGGTGGAGGGAGGTGGCTGCCCTTTGACAGAAGAGTCGCCTGTCCAGCCGAAGAGAGTGGGTCTGGGACCCCACAGGCAGGGGAAGGGGCTTCTTCTCAGGGGGACCCATGACGGCTCCAAACAGGGAGGGGGGGGGTCTCTCAAGGGGCTGTGCTCCCTGCTTGTAGGAGGGGAAGCCCACAGCATGGGAGGAGGGAGGGACGGAGGGAAGGTCTGGGCTGCTGCTTTGCATTTTATGACATGCATGTTATGACACATGGGGGGGGTCTTTGTGCCTGCGGAGGCCAGGAGGTGGGTCCTGACTGCCAGGTATGTTTCTTCCAGCCCCAAGAGGCCTTAAAAATGGGCCGTTCATCAGGGAAAAGGTTTGTAGTCCGGTCATGACTTGTTGCAAAGAATCCTCACACGTGTTTAAAGCTTCTCTATTTATTTCAGGAATGAACGTGCTGTATTTCCGAAGGCTTCTTTCTTTGGCGGCATCAACACCAGGCAATGCTGTCAATTTATTTATTTATTTATTTGATTTATACCCTGCCCCTCTGGTCTATACAACCACTCTAGGCAGCTTACAATATAACATAAAACATTCAAACCAAGAATACTACATAAAACATCCAACAGGAAATTACAATACAAAATGAAGAGGAAATAAATAAAAAGAGTGAGAGAATAAAATCAAGAAATGACCGGAGGGAAGGCTTGAATGTACATCCATGTTTTTAAATGGCTTTTAAACAGGCAAAGCAACACCAAATCATTCTTAAAAGACTCTGCTGGTGTCAGAGAGAGCATGGAGGGGGGGGGCTGGATTATTTCCCCCTCCCTGCACGCCTGAGGGAGCAGAGACTGAAGGGGCACTTACGCAGGAGCAGGACCCATATCATATCCCCTGCCTAATCTCGGACAATTGTGGTGGGATCTGCATACGGCTCTGCAGACCGCCTCTGTGCAAGGGGGGGGGGACCAGGGGGTTGAGCGGGATGGAAGGTCTCCCTCCCAAGGAAAGCTCTAAAGGTAAGTTTAAAGGCAAACAAAACTTTGTGAGTCTCCAGACTCTTTCTTGTCCTTGTGGTTGTTGTCCTCATCATCTTTTCCAGGAGCACATTGTGTCTTTGCACCAGAGGGATCCAGGGCTGTTTTGAACAGGGTCCTGCTCCTCACTCCACCCCTCTGCCCATCTCCAGGCACAGGTTGCCTCTCAGCGTGGCAAAGCTGGGCGTGGAACCCGTTTGGAAAGACTGGCACAGCCGACAAGTTCCTTCCTGGGTCTGGAAATCTAGCTGTGACCCGTTACAATTTGGTGCAGAAGGCTTGCTTTTCTACCACGCTTGTTTCTATTATAACTACCCGTTTGGTCTTAAAATTAAGTTTATTGAACTCTTCTTGGATTTCCAGGATGGATTTTTGTTTGGTCTCAGGCAGGAAGAGGTAGAAAAGAAGTCCAGAAGCATAAAGGGCTCCCATGAAGATCAGGAAGCTGAACTGCTGGAAGCTTTCCTAGAGGGGGAAAAGGTGAGAAAGTGGACGCTTCTTCCTGTCCAGTGTGCTTGCCTTCGCGGGGTGGTGGTGGTTTAAAGGCAGGATCCCATTGCACACCACGCATTGCCCTGCTCCCTGCAAGGCCCCTTCCCGGCAGAGTTTGCCCCCCACCCCCACCCCTCCAGTCCAGCCTTCATGGAGGAGGAGAAGGCTTGAGGGAAAGGCCAGGTCCCTTGTGAGCCAAAGGCACTCTTACCACAATAAACGGGAACGCCATTCCCATCACAAAGAAGCCAATCCAGTTCAGGATTCCAGAGATCACAAATGCAGAGGCTCTGGAGGTTTGGTCAAAGATTTCCATCCGAACAGAGGACATGGCACCAGCTGGGGAGGGAAGCCGAGAGCGTGGCTGTTGTGAGATCCTATATGGCAGTGGTCCCCGACCTTGGGCCTCCAAGGGAAGCCAAGAGCGTGGCTGTTGTGAAATCCTATATGGCAGTGGTCCCCCGACCTTGGGCCTCCAGATGTTCTTGGACTTCAGCTCCCAGAAATCCTGGCCAGCAGAGGTGGTGGCAAAGGCTTCTGGGAGTTGTAGTTCAATAACATCTGGAGGCCCAGCGTTGAGAGCCACTGCTATATGGAACATGGTCAAGTAGATGGACGCTACCCGTGTGTTAGAGAAACTGGAGTCAGTCAGTCTACTGAGGCCTGTTGCTGACCAACAGAGCCGAAGGCATTTGGAGGCTCAGGTTGCACACAGCAAAATCAGGGGTGCTCGTTGTTCCATCCTGGAGCAGGTTCTCCTCAGGTGAAAGTACCACTGTAACCCGAGCTGGTCTCTTAAGCTCATTCATGTGTGCCACCCAGAGAGCCTCACTGAGAGGGTTTCTAAAAAAGCTAAATTCTAAAGCCTTTGCGCAAAACAAAACAAAAAAACAATAGCACATTTTAATGAAGCATGCAGCAGTTTACCTGGCCCCAATCCGAAGCAAATCACAAACCAGAAAATCAGGGAGAGGCTGCAATATGGCATCCAGAAGAACCTGTGCTACAAATAAAAATGGAATAAAGTGGTGTGCGAGTTTAGATGTTCCTCTTGGACACGCATGTGGTGGTGGTGGTGGTGGTGGGGTCTCTGCTCCATCCATAAGGTTGTCGGGCAACCTCTGGGGAGAGAATCTGTTCCTAATAGGGCCACCAGCTGTGCTCCACAAGGGAGCAGCCCCATGTCAACCACGCAGACCACAAACCCGACCCGCTTAGGGGGACCCAGCAGAACAACTGCTAGAGCCTCTCTCCTGGGTCAAGGAGAGCCCTTGTCCGAGGGCTCCAGGAGGAGCAGCGCCAAGCCAGAGAGTGGCCAGAAAACACCATTTTCTGTGGAAAGAGGATTCAAACAGCAGCTGCCCAAGGACTTCAGAGGGTTCCTCAGAAAAGGGAGTGGGGTGGGGTGGGAGAGGCCTTTTTGGGGGGGGGCAGGCCTTCCAGCCAGACTGTCTCCATCGCTTTCCCCACCACCTTGCCCTGGCCGGCTGGGGAGGAGGTGATGGAGCCCTCCCTTTCTGGCATTTGCCTTTGCACGGCTGGGGCTGGTGACAGGAGGCCTGGCGGAAGAGACCTCCCCACCAGGGAGGTCCCCTCCCTCTGGTGCAAAAAGAGCCCCAAGCCTGAACAGAGCTGCTTCCTCCTCCTCCTCCTCCTCCTCCTCCCCCCTCCCATCCATCCCACCCACCCATTCCCCGACCACCCACCATGAAGGCAAGATCTTGGGCAGTGCAGCAGCTCCTTCTTGGTTGACCAGAGGCATCCACCTCTCAGCAGCAAAAGAGGGGCCAGGAAGTGTGGGTGAGGACCTGCCCTCTTACCTGGAGGGAGAGGGTCAGGGTGAGGAGGGCCAGGACCGTGGCCATCAGCCCATAGCCCCCCCAGAGTAGCACCTTTCTTCCTGAGCGCTCAATGATGAAGGTCTGGGTGAAGAAGAGACGGACAGTGAAGGGGGGGGGCTCTGCAGCCACTTGGGCCTGCCAGCCCCAGCCCCACACTTGGGGCCAGCAGGGTGGTGGGTGGAGGGATTCCCCCATGAGCTCCCTAAGTCCCAAGGGCATCACCCTCTGGGAGAACCAGCCTGGTGTTGACAAATGTGGGCCACAAGGCCAGAGTTCTACAGGCAGGTGCTCAGCCAGCCCACAACGGCTGTAGCAGTGGCACACCGTGGGGCTTTCCCTAGCATCCCGCCACCCCCACCCCCCAAAAGATGTGCCACCCCTCTGCTCCAGAGACTGCCAAGGCTCCTGCCCAAACCGGGTCAAGAAAGCCCCGCCTGAGGAGAAAGAGGGACAATCCAAAACCATAGGTCTTGTCTAAGCAGCGGGCCCTCCTACCCCCACCCCGTGGACCCCCCTGCTTTCCTGCGGGTTGTAGACAGACAGGCAGAAACGGGGCTCCATGATCTCCCTCGGATACGATGGGCCCCCTTTTCCCAATCGGCTTCTCCTTCTTGGTGCAGATCCCCACAGAGGCATCCAGGTGGGAAGCCTGTGGGGCCTCTAGGACGCTGCATCTAAGGCTCCCACTCTGTGTGGGCTCCCCCTCCGAGCCTCTCCACTTCATTTGGGGGCTGGAGTCACCCTCCAATGTCCTCGGATTGCCCCTTGAGCCCCAATGGGCTGCTGGTGCGCCGCCTCCCCCAGCCCGACGTCCTCTTCCTCCTCCTCCTCCTCTTTTGTGCTCTGGAGCCACTCACGCAGAGGACAGCAGAGAAGAGTTCGCTGGTGCTGACCCCTAAGGACAGGTAGGGGATGTCGTCCGGGTGGAATCCTGCAGTGCTCAGCACTTCAAAGGTGTAGGCGTAGATCTGGGGGGGAAAAAGAGGAAGAAACCCTGGAAAATGGGGACCACTCCAGGGACAGAGTGTGGCAGGCGAAAGCCCAAGTCCGGAGCTTGGCCAGCTGACCGATGAGCCGTCCTGGGCACCCCGAGTGGCCCACCCTGGGCAGGGAAGTCCACTTCGACGGGCAGCCACAGCTGCTCCCCAGGGGACCAGACGGGCCCTTTCCTGGCCTGGCCTAGAGATCCCCGGCCTTTCCAGGTGGCTACCCGGCATAGCTTCTGAAATCGGACAAGAGAGCAGGTGATCATTGGCTCTTGGATGGACAAACGGGCCCAAGGGAGAAGGCACCGACTCCAGGCAGGGCAAGTGGGACCACAAGAGAGAAAGGTTTGGTTTTCCCCACAGCTCCCCTCTGGTTTTCCCTGCCAGAAGCGCCTTTTCCGGCGGAGCAAAGGGCCGACCCAACTCAACTGCCTGGATGCCGCTCAGCTGCAGGGTCACCCCAGAGAGAAGCAGGATGTACATCTGCCAGCGCAGGGAGGGCTCCTTGGCCACCTCCAGGATGCCTCTGCTCCGGGAGCTCTGCTGGGCCGCCTGCTCTTTCCTCAGGTCCTCCAGCTCCTCTTGGTGGTGGTGCTTTTCCCCCCAAAGGCTCTTCATGGCTGTGAGTCGGAGAGAAGGCGAAGACGACTTTGGGGCAAGCTCCCTAATCACCAGCTGGGCTGGACCGCCCACCAGCCCACGGACGCCTGCAGCCCCCCCCCTCCGGCACCACCAGCCGTGGGGCTCCACCGTGTCCCTGGGGGAATGGCTCTGTCTCTCAAGGTGGGCCCCATATATAAATGCTGTTAACAATCACGGTGAGAAACGGAAAGGATGTGCCCAGAGGTGCTGCTTGTGCTGCAGAAGGAGGGCCTGGCTCCTCCGAAGCCCGAGGAAGGTTGTGGAGAAGCAGGCAAATGGCCAACAAGGAGAGTCTCTGCCATCACGTACCTTTCAAGCATCCTTCTTCGTCTCCTTTGTTCAAGAACAGATGAGGTGGCGACTCCGGGAAGAAGGGCAGTGTGAGCAGCTGGATCGTGGCAGCAATGCCACCGAAGGCCATCAGGAGGGGCCACCATCTGGCACTTCCTAGGAGCTCACTGTGGGGGGGGGGAAACGACAAAGCAACCAGATGGGGACACAGGACCTTGCAGAGAGCAAGGGGGGAGGGAGAGAGAGAAAGAGCTGAAGCCAGAAGAGATTTCCCTTCGGTTTCTGGCCCTCCTCCTGACTGCCTCTCTCTCTCCCCCCCCCCAAGTGGAGTCGCTGCAGCCTGGCAGATTCCTGTGCAGTGGGGGTGGGGGCAGGCGAGTGAACGGGCCTGTGCCAGGGGAGGGGAGCTGCCTATCCCACCTGGGAGAGGTGGGGGGGTCTCTTTAAAGCCCCACCCCCCACATGGAAGAACCCTTTCTCGAAGGTCCTCAGTGCCCAAGTGGGAACAGACTCTACCTTTGTCCCAAGACTTGGCCCATGACTTTGCCCAGGCTCCAGAAGATGGAGGCCGTGGAACTCGAACAGCCGCGGAGCCTCTTGGGAGAGACTTCCCCGAGGTACTGCGAGTGGAGAAGAGCGCACATGCCTTGAAGGGGAGACGGAGGGAACGGCGGTGAGGGTGGCAAGAAGCAAAACGGTGCCCTATCGCCCGGGCGTGGCCGAAGCCGGATCCCTGGGCGGCAGGGGACCAAGTCCTCTTCCGCCTCGGGGGTGCTTCCAACCCTCAACCCAACCTTCAAACCAGCCGGCTTTGTTTTAGCAAGAGGTCATCGGGGAGTGAACAGAAGCTTTGTTTGCTTTGCAATGGCTAAGGGCACGAAGAATCCACCCCGGCTCTTTCTGAGCTAGTGATTCCTCCAGAGAAGTGCCAGCGGTGGCGTCTGGGCCAGGCTGCCGGAGGACACAGCAGGACCACACCTGCACTGAGGCCACACAGGAAGCGGCCCGCCAGGAGCATCTCGTAGGACTTGGCCGCCTTGCTGAGGCCCAGGAGGAAGGCGCTGGCCACCATCAGCAGGTTGTTGCCCAGGAGGCAGCTCTTCCTGTTGAGAGAAGGACAGAGGTGGGACCTGTGACCCCCCCCGAGGGAGCCCAAGGGGGTGCCCCCACCTGGGCAGGGGAGCTCCGTTGGCCATGGCCAGGTGTTGGATGGTGGGGGAACCCTGGGTCCCCCCAACTCACCCGCTTCACAAGGCTGTTGCTGTAAGGACAAAGTGGGGGTGGGGTGGGGGGAGCCCAAGCATAGCCAGCCTCAAGGATTCTGGGAGTTGAAGTCCAGAGGTTGGGAACACCTGCCCAGGAGCTGTTAAGGGCAGAGAAGGCGGCTGCCCCTCTCCCAGGGCCTGGGCAGCTGGAGTGGAGCCCATTCTCTCCAGTTCCACAAGAGATCCTTCCTCCCAGAGGAGGAGGGAGCCCTCCTGCGCCGCCACCTTCTCCCACCCGTCTCCTTGCATGTCGGGGGGGGTGCGGTTCTCAAGGGCTCAGGATAGGACAGGCTCCCAGGATAGGACAGGAGCAGGGATCCTTCCACAGACCCGCAGCGACACTAAGGGCACAGTGCACAAGTGTTCATGCGCCCTCGGGCAGAGTGGCTCTAGCGGAAGCCACCTGCTCTTCCTCACAAGCCCGGCTCCAGGGAGGAGGCTCCAGGGCTGCCCCCTCCCAAGCCCAAGGGTGCCCCAACCCCAGCCAGCCGCAGCCACAGAGCTCCCAGCTCAGCTTGGCTCGGCTTTAAGAGTTCTGCTTGAAACATGAACATACTTTCCATATTTTGTGGTCAAGCGTCCACTGGCCATAGAGCCCAGGAGCCCCCCCAGACCAAAGATGGACACAATCAAGGACCAGAGCAGGGTCAGGGTTCTGGGGGCCACTGGGAGGCCAGACCGTTCCAGCGAGGTCTCATTGATCAATGTTTTCACATGCTGGAAAAGAGAACATTTCTCAGGAGCCATCGGGGCGACTATACTAGCAGGTCTTAGGCTGATGCTGCTTGTAGACAAACGCTCTGGGGCTGGTCGTTATGGATGATGGATGCTCTGCCCTTCTGCAAAGTAAATTGGTGAGCAGCTGGTAGAGCCTCGGAAATACTGTCAGCACAGGAGAAGGGATGTGAAAAAAGGGCCTGCCAGGAATGTGGGAACCAGCAGAGAACCCACCCCAGCTCGTCCTCCTGGCTGTCGCTGTCTTTGAACATCTCGTGAAGTGGGAGCCTTTCTTTATGGCTCTTTGCCTCCCCTGCTCTTGACCTTGCAGGGGTCAGCTCTTGCAGGGCTTCTGGGCTCTGGGAGATGCATGCTAAGAAGCCTCTGTGGGGTTGCACCCCCCCCATGGCCCCATTTAACAAAGCACTTCCTTTTATCTCAGAAAATCTCTGCAGGACTGTCGAAGTGGTGCATTCACAGCAGCAAACAACCAAAAGGCTGCTGAATTCATGGGGGGGGAAGGAAAAGGGGGTGCAATAAGGTGATCACACACAGGCAGGGGCAGAGGGTGATGCAAGGATGTTTTAAAACTACTCTAACTTGTTTGCAAATGACCACACTTTGCCCTAAGATCTTTCAAAACAGGCTTGGGTATAAACATTGCAGTAAATCAATCGGTCGGCGTTCCAAAGATTTACTTAGGAGGAAAGGCCAAGGTGGATGGTATTTGGGCACTGTCTGAACCTTTTCCACTCCCCCAGAAGTTTTAAGTGGTCGGAGAGGAACACCCTGGTACCCAGAGGGTCTGGAGTGCCCTGGCATCTTGGAAGAGGGCGCTCCCACCCCCTGCTGCCCGAGGGCTAGGTTCTTCCTGCAGCACCGGCTGCCCCAGGAAGAGCTTTGCTGCGCCACATCCCTACTTACCACTGAGGCGTAGGTGATCATAGAGGCTTGAAAGCCAAGCTGGAGCGATCCACCAATTCCCAGGACAAGCATCATTTGAAGGAGGCGTGGGTACTGGAGCTAGGAAGCAATTCAAAGACTGCTGGTTTTATTCTACCAAAAGCTTGTTTCCTACTCCTTGACAGCAGCTTGCCTTTCCTGTTCCAGCTCATTTCATATCAGGCAACAAAGGGGACCAAGTAAGAGGGTGGACACACACACACCCCTACACCCAGCTGGAAGCACCCAGTCCAGGAAGTGCCCTCCTGTTTCATATGACCCTGTATCTTTTTTTTTAATGCTTTCAGTCTGTTTTCAAAATCTGTCCTATGGCACATTGCTTTCAGGACCTTGGTGGGAGCCTGAGAGAGAGGAGAGGAGAACCTGTTAGTTAGGTTCTTTTTGGTGGTGGTGGGGGGAGAACACTTAAGGGCCACCATTCCTGCCCTCTCTGGAAAGACCCCTTGGTTGAACTCTTCCACCATTTGGTTTCTAAGATGCAACAAAGGCTCCGAGTTACAGACACAGTCAAGACCATCTGCTGGTCCTGAAAGGGTGAGAAGTCAGACCAGCCCTCTGCCCTGTCCTCAGCCCAAATCTATGGAAAGATAAAGTGGGCTTTAGGGTGGTTTTTATCTTAAATTAATTTGGTGCCAGTGATGTGCTGTTTCGGCAAATGGGAGGAGGCAGTTTTCCAGGTATCCTGGGCTCCAGGACATCTAGAGCCTTTGAAGCCAACACCTGAATCTTGAAATATACTCTTAAGCAAGTGAGAGGTGGTGAAGTTCGCTCAAGACTGGTAATAGATGATCTTGACATCACACACACAAAAAAACAGTTGGCCAACCACTAGCATTATGTGCTGTGTGTTTCACTAGCATGTTGCACTATAGAACCTCTAAATTGCTTTCAAGGGCAGCCCCTTGCAAAGCATAATGCAGTAGTCTAATCAAGAAGCAATTAAACCACCCTAGGAAGGGGCACAATGGGCATATGAGCCAAATCTGGGCAAAGGAACACCTGGCCACAGACACCCCCAGGACTGCCAGGGACAACGCTGGGCAAGATGTACCTTCTGTGGAACAAGAGTTGTCCCATCAAAGGTGGCAGCAGTTTGAATCCCACACAATTTACTTTAGAAAATAACATTCATAGCTAATACTTTCTTCCCAAACACTAGGCAGGGTTCTCACCTGGGACTTGAAAGAAGCCCTCACTGACCCTCTCTACCTGGCAACAACGGGCTTTGCAAGCAGAGTGGCCTTCCAGCAAAACCAGCTGCCCCCCCCGGCCAGGCCTGACTTACCAAGTCCCTGAGGGAGCTGCCTTCCATCTCTGCCCCAGGGCTGCCTCCTGGATCCGGGCTGCTTCTGAGGGAGGGTGGCCACCGAGTTCAGTTTCCAAACCCTCCCTGGTCTTGGTGAGGCCAGGTGGTACAAGGTTAATGTTTCAGCCTGGCTCTTGGGCCATGAAGTGATGTCACCCAGCGCTGCCCAGTTCCGTTCAGGGGCTGGGTGAGGGTTCAAGGCCTGGGATAATATTCATTAATAGGTCAACCGTAATTTAGTCAGGGAGCCCAGCGGGAGTGGGCTTCACATCTAAGCCTCCAACCTGGATGCCAGCCTGATGCTTGCGATGGGCAACTCCCTGAATGATCTAATCTCCGCTGCCCTGCCTGCTTCAGAGATTGGAGGCAAGTAAGGGTGGAGGAACAAGGGGGGGGGCCTCTGCCTCCCCCTCCTACAGCGATGACTTTAACGCAGACAGACAGACGGCATTGCAATGATGACGCATGCATTGCAAGCATAAACACCTGCAACCCCCCGCCATGCAGTTTTCTTCCCTCCAGGAGATACTCCTGGGAAAAGTGGCTGGACGGCAGGAGGGGAAGAGACCAGGCACTCCGTGGCTCCGTGTCCTTCCTTCCCCTGGCCAGGTTCAGTGCACCTGCATCCCACCTTTTCCTCAGCGAGCTCTACTTGGCACTCCCCACTTCCGCCTCCTCCCCACAGCCCTGCAAGGCAGGTCAGTCGGAGAGAGAGTGAGCGAGAAAGACTGGCCCTGGGTCACCTGCTGAGTTTCATGGCTGAGCCATGGCTCCATCCCAGCTCTCTCAAGGAGAGTACAGCATCCTAACCACTACTCGGCACTGGTTTGTGCTGCCTAACCTAACTGGAAACAGGAGGGAGCCCTCCTGGACCGTAGGGACCTGAGCCTGCCTCTTGGGCTTCCCAGGAAACCTGCTTTTTGCTGGAAAGCTGCTGGTCCCCGGCTGTTATGGGCTGCCCCTTGCCTTCCTTCTGGGAGGGCCCCGGAGTTCCTCTTTCAGAGGGACCAATGGGCTCCCCCCCCCATTGCTCCTGGGAATCTTTCCGAACACCCCAAGCCAGGCTCTGCATGAGGTGCTTTTGCAGTGACACCATCCTCCCAGAGAGTTTTGCACCTGAACTGAATTCTGTGCCAGTAAGGAAAGTTCAAGGCTGGCGAGCCACTGGCTACACACCCTCGGGGAGAGAGAGAGAGAGAGAGAAGCATCTCCCAGCCCCTGAAGTGCAGAGCTGTGGCTCGGCCGGAAACTGGGCAGAGCAGGGCCTCAGATGGATGGATGGATGGATGGGTTCTCCTCGGTCTGTCTTCTCTCACTCGGCAGGCACCTGCCTAGGTCATCTTTCAGGGGGCTTGGAAATGAAATGCCCAGGAAATCCATTACCAAAACTTTGCATTCATGGAGGTGTGAAGAAATGAGAGCAAATTCTCTTTATTTTCAGGGTATGCAAATAAAATCATTTTAAAGCAGAAGATAACAGAAACATGATTTACGACAGAGATGAGCTAGTTTTATCCAAACAGTGTGGGCTATTCCGGAACACAGGAGGAAAGAATGACTGTCAAGAAATGCAGCAAAGCGATCCAAAGAGAAAGCGCCCAGGACGCCTGGAACCTTGTGCTCCTCAAGAACTGGGCTTTACCTTCACACTTACCTTCCAGTAACAAGAAATGTGGCCTTTCAGAGGACCGTATGGCTTGCCCAATGAAGAAGAGGCACGATAGGAGAGGTGAGAAGCATGGGACATGGGGTCAAGGGGCTAAAGGGCCAGAGGACGGGCAAGCAAGCCAGGTGCAAAAAATGGTCCCCTTTGATTTGGTCCTGAACCTGGCTGTGCATTTAGTAAACTCTCAGTACCAGCAGACAAACAAATTCAAGCCCTCTACAGTCTTGCAACAGCCAGAGCTGAATCTGCAAGTCTGCCATCAGCTCGACCTGAGGGATGTAAGGCAAGAGGTCCCGGTGGAACCCCATGTGAACTGCTGCTGGGGGGGGTATAAGGGTCGATCCATGCAGGGGGAGGAAGGGGGAGTCCTGCCGGGATGCCACTTTTCAGGGTTGGTCCATCCATTAACTCTGCAGGGGGGGGCATTGCTATGGCCCACCGTCCCTTGCTGGGGAACCACCGAGCCGTCTCCCAAGAGGTTCTGCACCTGCCAGTCATCCCTTCTTCTCTTCTTTTGGAGCTTTTTCCTTGTCCTTGCTCGGGCTGGATGGGCATAAGCTGGCACAGACAGTCCACGGGTGTAGCAGCCATGCTTGTCTCTGGATGCAGTCTGGATAAGCACCATTATTTGGCTCACTTCTGGGGGAACCATGAGAGACCCAGAGAGCATCAATGCAGATGGGTAAGGCCATTTTCCACCACTACTCCCGGTCTCCCTTTGGAAGCTGGGGGCTGGTTTGCAGTCTGCCAAAAACAAACTTTCCAGCGACGGCATAGCCACAGAGTGCAAATGCTTCCCTGTGGCACCCCTTGAAATGTCCTTTCTCCACACCAAGCGGTCCAGGGAGCTGAGTTTGGTGAGGTGCTCAGAATTCTGTGCTGTGGTTCAGGGTGGTTAGATGTGTTCTCTAGCAGAGGGTCCAAAGCACCCCAAAACCTCGCACGCCTCACATTTCTGTAGGAAGGAACCACCGTTGTGGAAGGGTGCCGAACGGCGGCCACTCCAGAGCATGGGCATGTTTCCAAGCCAGAGGGCTTTTTGGGTGGGCCGAGAATGTGGTGGGAGGGAGGGAGGGAGGAATGGCTGCAGGAGCACGTCCAGGGGTACAGAAGGCCAGCTGAACCCCAGTCCTGAAAGGGGAGAAGGAGTGGGAGCACATGCAGGGACAGATCACAGGCTGCCACCTGGACCACAACTCCTCCTTCCGATTCCGGTGCCCATTGGGGGGATCTGCTCTTCTTGCAGCCCTAAGGCTGGCTCACTCAGAAGCTGGAGTAGACGGACTGGTCCTCCTGCAACCCCCTCCCAAGAAAGGCAGGGAGCTTCTTTCCAAAAGGGATGCTCTGGAATCCCTCAAACTCCTCTGTGATTTCTGCAATGGATTTCCCTTTCGTTTCTGGGAGGAAGAGGTAGAAGAACAGGCTGGTGCCCAGGAGGACGGCCGTGAATATGAGGAAGCAGAAAGGACCCAGGCTTTCCTGGAAAAGGACCCAGGAGAACAAGGATTAACCCTAGATGGCCCAAGGGGGCATTGAGCTAGACTCCGCCCCCCACCCCCGCCCCCCTCAGAGTCTAGCTCAATTACTGGGGGATGTTTCTGGGAGGCGGGGCATGGCTGCTATGGGGATACAAGTGAGAGAGCGAGAGCGAGGGGGCTCCAGGGCCGGGCAGAGCTGGGTGGCTTCCTCTGTCCCCAAAGCAGACGTCACTCAAGAGAGCCCCTCGGTGGGGTGGGGGTGGGGGCTCTGCCTGGTATAGAAAAGGCCTCGGCTCCAGTCCCTGGGAAGAATCCAGCCTGAATTGCAGCCTTCGCTGTCCACCAGAGCCGCCCCCCCCCCCCNCTAGGTACCTGCCACATCGAAGTGTGTGTTCATGTCACTGTTACTTGGGCCACCCTGACAGACCCCCCCTCCTGCCCTTTGCAACTGTGATGCTCAGGGAGGCTCTTCTAAAATACATTTTAATCCATGGAGAGGGCTTTGGCTGAGGGCCCCTCTCCCACCACTCCCTGCCCCCCCCAAAGCCCTTCAGAAAGGGGCCTCACCTGGGACCACACTAGCGGGGGGGGGGAGAGAGAGAGAAACAAAGGATTCTGCTGGGGGGGCACTGACCACAGCAAATGGGAAGGTGATCCCCAGGGCAAAGAGTCCTGCCCAGTTCAGGCAGCCGCCCATCACGAAAGCTGCTGGTCTGGACGACTGGCGGAAGATCTCCATCATGACGGCCATGGNCTGGATTCCCTCCTCCCCGTCTTTTCCTGCACAGCTACGGAGACCGGCAGCCACCTTTTCAGGAGGGCACGAGAGGCTATAGGGCGGGGGGAGACCATGGGTAGCACTGGCTTCCCTTGGGTGCTGGGAGGTTGCAGGGGGGGCAATGCAGCATGGGGTGCCCCCTCTGTCCTTGACCCGTATTAACTGGCTGTGGCAGCCACTGCGCAGGGTCGTCAGAAGGGGAAAGTTCAGAACCCCAATCTCTCTGGCGAGTAAGCCACCCCCCCTCAGGGCCTCCAGGTACCGGGTGCAGGTCCCCCTCCTTCCCCCCCCCCGCCCTTCTACTCACTTGGTCCGACTCCAAAGATGAAGACAAACAGGAAGAGCAGAGTCACGCTGCAATAAGACATCAGGGGGTATTTGTTCTGTGGGGGTAGCAGAGAAGAGGGGCCTTGCAAAAGCTTCCTCCGACCCAGAGCCCCTCCCCATACCGGGGTTCTCTCGGGAGTCCTAAAAAGACCGGCGACCAAGCGCCTGCCCTCCTACCTCCCCGCTGCGGACGGGCCAGGCCATATTTCTCCGCAGGTGGCGGCTACAGCCCAGCCCAGCCCCCCTTTCCCTACCCCCGGAAAAGGTCGGGAGGGGGCGGGCGCCCTGGCTGTCCAGAGAAGGCCTCGGCCGTCACTCCCCCGGCAGAGAGGAGGAGGCCGAGGACCGGCGGCAATGACAAGGGATGCTGACGGGCCTCTGCCTGGATTCCCCCCCGCCGGCCGAGGCGAGGAGCGGGACCCAGAGCAGGAAGCGAGAGAAAGGGGCTTCCACTTGGGTGGGGAATCCAGTCCGGAGGACCCTCAAAGCGGCCGAGCCGCCGTCCCTCCGAAAGGGGGGCTGAGCCTCCCAGAAGCAAGCCGCTCCCCCCCCCGGTCAGGCGGGGGTTCCTCCCTCTGTGCAGCCCTGCCGCCAATGGAGGAGAGAGGTCAGAATTGGTTTTTAAATGGCCCAAGACTGGAAGAATTCCCAGTAAAAAAAAAAGCATCCAGAAATGTTGAAGGTAACCTCAAAAAGCAACTTATTTTAACAGGATTTATGGTGCAAAGGAAGACGCTTCGTTCCCTACCCTGGGACGTCATTACACCTTCCCTCAAAAAGTGACGCATTGCTTCCAGACAGTGTGCAGAGGTTTGGTGGGAGCAAACATCTGGGCTGGAGGGAAGAGGTAGGGTTGAAGGGGAAGGATGCTCATGCGTGGGCTTCCAGGCTCTTGTTCGTGGGAGCGGACGGGGGGAGAACAGCAGGGGCAGCCCCCCAGCCCGTCGGGGAGCCGATCCGGAAGGAGGCCAATCGGTGGGCAGGCGCCAGACCGCGTCGTCGGCCCTCCGGGCCCCGGCAGGCGGGAGGGGGCGAACCCTCGGGAGGAGCCCGGACGGGCGGCGAGGGAAAGGCTACCGACGCGCGCCCACCCCGGTTTCCACCCGCACGAGCAATCGAAGAAGGGAGTCTCTTGGCAGCCTTGCCCGGGCTTGCCGGAACCCTCTGAAGGCCCTGGACTACCCACTGCAGGACAAGGAGGGAAGCAAGGGTCGCCGAAGGGCAAGACGGCAAAAGAGGCCGCGCGCCCTTTCCTGCCCTTCCCTTCCCCCCCCCCCCGTTTTGTCCACCCGCCAGAAGCGCCCGCCTTGGCGGGGGTTGGAAGGGAGCGGGTCTTACGCAGAGCACCGAAGCGGAGAGCTCGCAGAAGCCGAGCCCGAGCGCCAGGTAAGGCAGGAGCCGCTCGGCGAAGCCC